CTGAGGACATGCGTCTGGCCCTCTCCTCCCGGTGAGCTTCCCAACTCACCGCTGCCCGCCGAGAACGAACAACGCTGCTGCCCGCCGACAACACCGTCATTCAAGGTAAGTCCAGATCGGCCGGGAGCTTTTTAATGTTTCCTGTGTGTTGGTTTTTTGTCACACTCTTTTTTTTACTTCCACCGCGCCAAGCTTGCTCCCGTGATGGACTACAATCTCAATAGAAACTAGTAGTCCATCACTGAACCCTTTTTTTTTTTTAAATCCGATTAGTCGATTAATCGAACTCAATAATCGGCTAACTAATCGATTATGAAAATAATAGTTAGCTGTAGCCCTATAGAATATCGTGCAAAAGTTCATTTATTTCACTAATGCAACTTAAAAAGGTAAAACTAATATATGAGATAGACTCATTACATGCAAAGCAAGATAATTCACGCTGTGATTTGTCATAATTGTTTCACCTTTTAAGCTGCATTAGTGAAATAAATGAACTTTTGCACGATATTCTAATTATTCGAGTTTCACCTGTAAGCTCACGAGTTTAAATTACAACTCCAAGTTTACTTTCCCTTTTTGGATGCACACCATTTTTTTCCCACGCCACATAGCTGGAGCTTTGCTTTAATTAGGAGCAGGAGACATGGTTCAACATTCACACTTCATTTAGCTATGTAGATAAGCATCTCTACAGGTGCAAAGATCCACAGCGTGGTCGGTTTATAACAATTTTTTTTTTCACCCAAAATTCACACATTTCTGTAATTAGATTGTAATGCAAAAGTTTGCCAAGCTTGGGGGGAAAACGTTTATAATTAAACCCCTTAGTGTCCACTTAAAATTCATGCCTTGGCTGAAACGCATCATAAAGACACCACAGGGCAGAAAAACATGCCACTGCATTGAAAATGTACATCTGGATCACTTGAACTAGCTATTGGACAGGTCATTCTGCTCTGTAAGGGGCCAGTCACTGCGGGATCACCTCTCCTAGCTGCACACATTACTTTTCATTTTTTGCACATATATACCTTGTATATATATTTTATATAGTGTGTGTATAGAGATATATCTATACACACACATACATAAACACACACTTATTATGCCAGCAGTGCGTACTGACTGTAGAGATAAACATATAGCATCAATTCACTAAACCATAACAATCATCATGTACAATCACATGGCTGGAAGTTGATCACCATAGCAACATGTGTGTTACAGCCTAATACACTCATCTGTATTATACAAGTGATATGAAGTGCTTCTGTTTTGTAGTATTTGGAGTGTATCTAAAATCATACATTTTTAAGTTTTGAAGACTAGAATGGTCAGTGCCACTATCAGGGTTCTACTGCTGTCTGTATCCCAGTCAGAAAATTTACTCGCCCCACTTTCTCCTGGAAGTGTCAACAGGATCAACAGTGTGAAGGAAAAGCCAACATTTGACATTGTAATTAGAACGGGAATTGAATGGAAATTTTCCATAGGGAACCTTTTTCAGGTAACAACGGGATTTCCCTCACTTTGAAGAGATTTCCTCTCACTTCAGGTTATTACTGTTAAAGATGGTTCAACAAGTTATTGAATCATAAGGTGTACTTAAGTTTTTCCACATATGGCTTCTCCACTTTGGCTTTATGTTTGTAAAATAAAATAATGACATGGTGTACTATGTCATGTGCTGTTTTTCCTGTGAGGTTTTATGTACCTAATTTTAAGACCTGCTAAAGGACCAGATGATTTTTATTATGTTCTGATACTTAAAAAAAAAATAGAATTCAAAGAAGGTGTACACGGCATCATTTACGAATCTTAGCGGAGTAAAAAAATGACTTTTTGGATTTGTGGGACATTATGAATGTAAAACATTTTTTTAGAAAGTGCACCTATATGAGATATAAGCAAGAAAAAAAAAAACATAACAAAGTAATATTCCTCTGCACATTATAACTCTGCTAAAACTTAAAGAGGCCCTGTCACTAATTTGAAAAAAATGCATTTAAAAGCACAGAAAAATCCAGTATTTAAATGCTTCCCTGCAGTATTTTTCTTTCCATAAATTATTTTTTAATCACTTGAAATGTGCCCTTGAACTTGCAATAAATTCCCTAGCACCCCTTCCTTTCATGCATATCATAGTGCCCTCCTCTTCTGGGAGTGTCTGTCGGTGCTAGCCAAAGTCCTCCAGCCCTCCTGTTACATAACCTTATACGTTATGGGGAACTGGGGAAGAAGCAAATATCAGAGTGCCACTTGAGTGACCACACTAAGTAGGGTGACAACACATAGAAGATGGCAGCACTCAGTAGCAGTCTCAGAGCTTTTGGATGTCTACATAAGAGGGGCTTTTACAGGTAAAATCACATGCATTATATAAGTTAAATACTAATATAATAGGAATATGTCTTTCTTGAAATTAAGTCAGGCGTCAGGGTCTCTTTAAATGATCAATAAATGTATAGTTTACGTAAGTTTAAACTACAACTGCAGTCAGTTATTTATCATATGGATAGAGTACATATGGGTTAGAACTAGGGATGCACCGATACCAGTCTTTCAGTATCGAGTACCGATAAAAAAAATGTTATGGTGCTCGCCGATACCGGAAACTGATACCCGTAGTCCCATTAAGGAAGCCGGGTGGCTTCCCGATTGGCCGGGAAGCTGGGCGGCAGGGCAATGACTTAGGGAAGCTGGCTTTCTGGTCAATCAGGAAGCCGGGGGAGGGGCTTCTTGATTTGCCAGCTTCTGGACCAATCAGGAAGCCAGGCGCAAGTCATTACACACTCCCCAGCTTCCCGATTGGCTGGGAAGCCAGCTCCATGGCCAATCAGGGACGTGTAATGACTAGCAGCCCGATTTCCCGATACCAGAAGTTCCGGTATTGGGAGCATTTGGGCATGTACGAGTACTCGCCCAAATACTCGGTATATACCTTGATACTAGTATCGGTGCATCCCTAGTTAGAACCTCTGACATGTTTTTATAGAGGTCTGTGTCCCCATTAGAAGTAATTTTCTTTACGGAAGCTTCACCAGAAAATGTGTCTTTATTGGAAAATATCACCTTCTTTTCCTGCTCAGGTGACTTCTCAAGTTTAGAATTCTCTTACTTTCTATCAGTACAAAAAGTAAGTGCATTTCCCTAAAGAGGTGAAAGATAACTATATACCTAAAACTAACACTTTTTACCACCTACAAGATATAGGAGAGTTATAATGTATATACAATTTAGCAACTGAAATCAAACAGTAACTGATAACCACATAATTATAGTGCATTACTGCTACACATAAAGCTCCCAAGGATAAATGACACACCTGAACTACTGACAGCTGCATTGCATTGGTAGTTTTGATAGAGACAGGAAGTAAAATCTGAGCCGTTGGAGTGGTTAACAGGGCTTGAGACTGAGCTACAACAGTTTGTGGGGGTCTTTGAGAAGTCACATAGAATTGCTGGATAATGTTCTGATGTTCAGGATTGGAAACTTCATGTTTGATGACAACAGCATTGTTGGCAATAATACTCTGGCCACCTGTAGACTGCCCTATCAAATGGCCACTCAGAATAGCCGGAGCAGAATTCTGGCAGTCAGACATAGAGTTCTCCTCCTTAATATTAGCAGTGAAATGCTTCTGATCCACATTTACTAAAATGTTAGAACATGGCTGTTGCTGGCCGCGTTTCTCTACTTCAAGCTGCATCTTCAAAACTTCAACAAGCTTCTGCTCCTGTTCCAGCTTCCTTTTAAGCTCCTCAATCTGTTTTTCTTTCTCTTGAAGCTTGCGGTCCTTTTCTGCAGCATCTAAGTCCATGCTTGTAGTGCTAACACTGGTTGCCCCAATGCTGTCTTCATTAATACCAACTTTAATGGGTGAAGCATTCATAAACTGAGAAGGTGACATCATGGTCATAATCTCAGCAAAAGTATCTGTCATGTTAGTGTCTTCAGTGCTAAAGTTGGATTGTTCAGAAGGGGCAGGAGACATGGGTAATGGGGAGTTCACAGCATCACAGGATGCTTGGCTGCTTCCATTTGTAGATGAGACGGTCTCTATATTCATGTTTTGAGCAGAACTACTAAATGTGGCTGCAGTAAATATTGCTGTAGCATCTTCTATGGCACCACAACCTGCAGAAGCATTGGTTGCTGTGGTGGCGACTGCTGTGGCATTGTTTGCATTTACACCATTATTATTTAAATCTTGGTATGGCTTTAAACGTTCAATAAGTTCTGTTTTTGTGCCAGATACTGGAAGGCCTCTCAGCTTCAATTCCATTTTAAGTTCTGCAACCTGAAAAACACAAAAGTAAAGTTAAAAATATGATGTTTTTTTTGTATACTAGTTTGCAAAAAAGTAAATATGAATACTGGTTACATTTTAAACGTAAAATATATTATATGATAGCAAGACCCACATGTCCCTGAAGATATCGCAACATTGTACACTACATTACTAGACCATTCCACATCAACTCTTATAAGTATATGCACAAATACTACCTAAACATGCTCATGAAACGTAAATGGGCAACATACATTTCCTATAGAAATGAGCTACAAAGTATACTTCCAATAGTACATGGTACCCAAAACACTGCTTTGGGCTGACTGGAACCAGGTACATTTGCCTACATTTGGTAAACACGCCTCCTGGTCTAGATGCTGTGGCACAGTGTGCATAACCTACTATATACAGCGTTCAAAGAATAAAGAAAAATCGTTGTGGCACTTCTCAATGAGAAACTTGATACCAAGTCAAACAAATGACCCACGTGTCCACAGCCACAAAACAGCAAGTTATAGCACAACTGTGGAAAACAATAAACCTATGGCTGGCAGAAGTCTTTATCAGCACACAGTTGTTGCTTCACAATATTGCTTATAGAACCAATAACGGCAGTACTTAAGAGTCTCCCCCTCACCCATACCCTCTTTTTTTCCTATATTTAACTATTACCCCCATTTCTATTATAAGGTACAACATCATATATGGCGCATATACTATATAGAGAGCTCCTCCAACGAATATCCTTACTTCCAGTTATACTTCACTTATATGGGGGACTTTAAACCACATCACTAATATACCTAGAAACAACGCTGGCAGAAAGTGCTGTAAACTCATATTAAATCAAAAAAAATAAAAGTTAAAAAACAATGGGTAATAGCATTTTGCAAAAGTCCAGCATAGTAACTCCAAATATATTTAAAATCATCTTGAATAAATGAAACACTTTCAAAAAATAAAATTTCTAAGCATATTTTGCAGTCAATACTAAACTTAAAAATTTTGTGTGAAAGTTAAAAGTTAATTCAAAATTACAGGGTGTTCGTAGATGAAAACTGAAACAATCCAATGCAAAGAGATTCCATTAATGATTATGGAGTGAGCGCAACAGAAAATACTTCCGTGTTTCAAATGCTGAACGGAACTACCTCTCCTGCAGTAATCAATTAAGTCAAAACACTACTGTTGTTCTGATTTAGTAAACCATTAAAAAACCTAGAGACCTGTCGTGTTTCCATTTAAAAAAAACCCTATATGTGAATGGCAATATGCATTACAAACTAGTGCTCTTATTTTTTTTACCTTCATGTCATCCAGGTTAGAGGGCAGGGGTCCTGCCTTTTTAAACTGGACACCGTTTTGTCTGCTCATTGTATTCTGGATTGCAACAGTGTTGTTGTTCACATTGTTGGTTGCAGTGTTTCCATTGTTTGGTTTGTCATTCAAGGACCTTTGAAAAAGACAGATTCAAATTACGATTTCTGATTTAACACAATCCAAACAATTTAACATAGTACATTTCAGTGCAATAGTACAAGATCAAAAAAGAAAATCAGAAACAATATGACAGATGCATCAAACCAAGCATCCAATCAAGGCTGGACAAGAGGAGTAACAAATAATTTGGTAATGACTACATTATTCAAAATCGCCTTCATTTTTTTTTTTTTAAATGTGAGATCTAGACAATTATGCCATCCTATGTGACTTTGCATACTTCATGAATCAAGGTGTATACACATTTTGTGACACTGCAAATATAAGATGTTTTAGCAAAACAAGCAAAGTGACATACTTAAGCGGTGCAGGTAGGATTGTCTGGTAATTGTAGTGTTGCTGTTGCTGGCTCAGGATCTGAAGCTGAAGGAAGAGCTGCTGTTGCTGTAGCAGACGTGCATAGTTGGAATCCATCTCTGGTTCATTTTTCTCTCCTTTCTGGTCAGGTGGAATATACTGGTGATATTTCAGCTTCTTCACCCGTGGTTTGGGTTCTTTTGACTTCTTACTGCGAGGTTTATCATTTGCATTCTTCGGTTGGCTTTGCTGTTTAGAAACCCAAATGACACAATGCAATTACAGATGAACAATACATCTGCTAAAACCAATACATTAGCAGCACTCAACTACCAATTATTCTCTATGCTCAGGCTCTGCTTATGTTTTGACACAGTCATCTTCTAACACTCATCTTCTGGTATCTTAGAAAGTCTGTTTATAATATACATGGAATGCAGAAATTAACTGTGCTATATGTAGAATTACATTTCATGGCACTGTCTGCTCTCAATTAAATAAATATGCATGTACCAAGAGGTGCCTAGGCATAGGTACTTCAAGAGTGCCATTATTGCTGTGAAATTTAAGGCACCTCATTAGGAAAAAAACATCAATTTGACCTAGGCAGTTGGTACCTTGACTTGCACACTACTGTCTCCCTTGGAAACAATTTCATGAATGGGCAAAAAGACTAGTAGGGGGTTGAGAAATTCAGGAGGTCATAACTTTTTAGGGCAAGTCAACATTTGCATTATATAGCTTCTATCTTTGGGGTTACTGTAGTGCTCAGCTAAGACACCTCTGCAGGTATACATTTGATTCACCTGTGTGGCCCTGAAAATTTCCAGGTCCTGGTATTTCTACTTCTAATAATTCCATATTGATTGGACTTATAGTGAAGTTTGTTTGAGTAATCTCTAACACCCAGGTAAAGTGTGCTGCTAGACAAGGGGACTAAAATCTACAGTAGAGTGAAATAACAATGGCACAATATTTACATATCTTCAACTCAAAGCCACTGCAGAGAATTACTTATGGCTTTTCACTACGTGATGAGACACTTAGGCTAGCAGCTAAGGACAAATGTTAGAGTAGCTGATCTAGATTAGGTATTTTGCTACCATTTGAGAAAATATTTTTAATAGCCGATTTACCTTTACCAGTGCTGGTCCAGGTTTCACAATTGCATTGGGTACAGTAGGCCTTGTAACAGGCTCAGCAGTTGGAACAGGTTTAAAATACTCGGGCACAACTGAGTTAATTGGAGGGCTCTGCATTGAGAGAAAAAAAAGATGTTACAAAATAATTTACTGTATATGCATTCTTACATTGCAATGTTTAATTGCTTTTTTCACTGGAAATGTCATTCTGTTGGGCAATTGAAATATACAGATCTCAGTAGATCAGTGTTAGCACATAAACCTAGTAAAATTAGTGTTAATACTTAAACAGTTCTAACACAAAAGCAAAAACTTCAGTACATTATGAAAACGGTTTGCCCAGGTTTTGATCTAAATGAATTAAAATATATATGTTTTTTCATAGGTTTGGTTCATAAACCATTTAACCAACAAATTAAGTGGTGGCTAAAGGAGCCCAGAGACAGCAGAAGTTTGCCTAACACATACGAACAAGATAAACAAGATACAACTGCCTTCAGGTGTCTCCAGGGTGTGAAACATAAAATGTTACCTTGAGCAACCATGTGTGTTTAGCCTACATAGGAAGGTGAAGACTTGCCGCACATAGCTTTAATGCTGACATAAGAGAGAAAAGAGTAGCAGTTGGACAAGGTTTAGTGTATTAGCTGGCTAAGGGGTCTGACAACTGTACTGACAGTATCTCTAACTGGCTTTGGACCCCTTCCTTTCTTTGCTGAAGGAATTAATGTTCTGATACTTTTATAGTAAACGGCACAGATCTCTCTATCTATACACACATACACACTATAAGGCGTTTGTATCAAACCATGAGCAGTAGCCCACTCTATGCAGAGTATGGGTCACAGCAGTGCATTAGCAAATGTCTTCCTGTGACCAAAAAGAGGACTAAAGCCCAGAAAAAAGGTATGTCTTTAGTTTTTTTTGTTTTTTTTTACAGGCTGCTTACATCTACATTCCAAAAATTGTACAAGAACTCTAATATGCCTTTAAGAGAGAGCAATGAAATGTACTTGGACTTTATGAGACAGAAGGTTTATCCTCACAGACATTTCAAGAGACACATTCCACATGATTGACACAACTGAATATAACATAATGAACATACTTAATAACTCTGAGGTCACTGCATTTTTTTAAAATCCCAAAGTCTTTAACATAAATTATATTTTGTGTTTATTCATGAAATGAATACACAATGGGATCAATTACCATGTCTGGGTATTTCTGGCAGATAGCTATTTTTTAGAGAACAAAACAGGTCCTAAACCCGTCTACAGCCAATAACTTGAGGCCAATGTATCCTCTAATTCAGAAACAATGACCACTTATTAAAGTGGTCCACATACAAGAGATGCCAGTTTCCCATGGCAAGCTTACATTTGTAGGAGGCCTACCAGCTGTCAGGCAAGCCCCCGGGGTCGGATAATACCTGCACAATCTCCTGCCCTCACTTACCAATAAAGGTAAACTTAAGATTAATGGTGCCTGACCCGAATGGCAAACTCATGCCTAGAAGTAGATATCACTGGCTCACAAATCTCAGGAAAAATTACTGTTCAGAGATTCTAGAAAAAAATTAGCCCAAAAGGTTTCTTCCAACAATAACTGGTGTTAAATGGGTCCAGTTGTTTTCCCTAAACTTCGTTGAATGGCTTAAACATGCATGCTGATCCAGACGGGTCAGTTTATGATTTTAAACCGCTCTCAATTATTTGATGCATCAATATAACATATTATATACATATAGGTAAACATCAAGACTTTAGCCATTACATTTAAATAAGAGTGGACATCATAAGTGTACTTATGCATGTTTTACGCATTTTCGGCAGTGTTTTTTTTTTTTTTTAGGCATTACTATCCTTCACTAAGACAAAATTAAGAGAGCCGAATGAAAAGCAATGTCTTCTCAATCTACCTCTATTGGTGGCAGGTCAGAACAGTGAATGGTTGTTTTGCTACCCTCTGTGTAATGGAACCCCGTCAGCGTTATTTAAAAAAAAAAAAAAAAGTGGTGTGATTGAATTCCTGGTAGCAGGTGAAGGCATTGCTTTAATCAAAATCCACAGGGATAGGCAAGCTCTTCATGGTGGTAACGGTTAATGTAAGTAGTGTGCATCACTGGGCCCAAAGATGCAAAGATAGCAACGTAAGAATATCTAAAATGCGTAATAAATAAAAGGCGTGGGCAAAGACAGCATCTGATGCGCTTCAATGGGAATGTGTTAATGAATTGATTAAGGACAACTGGCAGATGACTCCGTAAGACTTTTCTGACAGAATAGGCATTTCTCAACAGCATGTAGGTCACATTATTGCTATTCTTGGATATCCTTTTGGAAATCACTGATAAGCTGAATCTCACCACCTTACTGAATCCACCAGCAGACTTGATGCCCAACAACTGAAAGACCCATGTGGACATTGCTTAACATCCAATGAAAAAGTGGAGAATGCCATCAGGGTGTGGTTGTGGAACAGTGACGGTTTGTAAAACTTGTTCATCGTTGGCAAAAATGTAGATGGTAATATGGAAAATATGAATACAAATATAGACAATGAAAAGAGCATAGTCTACATTAAGTAGACATGGTGGCATTACTGTTCATTCAACCCTCATATATAGGTGCATACCCAGAAAAATGTGCATGAGCTATAAAATGTCCTAATCTAGAATGGATGCCTACATTGCTTTCATGGCAATCTCTCTTCACACTGTTGCAGTGCTTTCAGAGGCTGCAGTAACCACTACTACTACTACTGTCAGCAAAAAAATCTTAACACACAGCAATAACTTAAGGAGCCTTCTGATGCGCATAAGGAATACTTCATTATGTGCACAGAATAAAGACGTCATTGCAGCATTGGGCCCTGCCAAGAAAAAACTTCATCTTGCAAATAAAATAACATGTTCGTTGGATATAACTGTAATTATGACCAATTTCCCATTTAGGGCAGGCAATGGGATTAGGTAAGCTTCTACTTGTGCACATTTAGAGGTAACATGCAACTGAATGACAATTACCAGATGTTGTAAATGAGTTCAGTGGTGGTACTTATGACATTTTAATTCCTAAAGGAATAAAAAGGCTCCATCTTTCCAGGGAAAAATTAAGGTCAACTGTTTATGAAGTTGTGAATGGCAAGCTTCCGCTTTCAATCAATGCTCCTTTCTGGAACTCTTTGTGTATCCTTATAAGTATTGGTATTTGGATTTGTATACTTATTAATGTGTCTGGAGTTTTTCTAGCTCTGGTCTCTGTAATATCAGAACATTACAAGTTATGCATTTCAGTTACTTGCACTGCAACTGGATAATTATAAGCCTTTACACAAAGAGAAAGGGAACCTGTTTAAGGCAGTTTTTATGATTTTGCTTTGTGTGCACAAGTTATCACTTCAGATGAAGTACACCTGCCGTATTTTTTGGGCTAGGAAAGTATGCTAATCTTTCTTAAAAATTTGAACTGCTCTCCCTTGCATGAAAGCAATATATGAATCTGAAACAAGCTTGGAAAACAAAGTGAACCCATTAGGATAGAAGGAAGCGAAAAGCAAAACTTTTCTTTTTATTGACCACAGTCAACATACATTGTATATGCTATGCTGTATGTTACATAGTCCTGACTGCCAAACTGTATAGGGTACATTGCACATAACATACTCTTGACCCCTGCATTGTATGGACCAAGTTGTATGTAACATACAGCTGAACTCTGTTGTACATTACATATTCCTGTGTGCTGTATTTTCACTTCCTATTCTGTATTATTACATACTGCTAGCCAAAACTACTTTAATTTTCCATGTCAGCCAGTGTTACATCCAATTTTTTTAGACACCTATGGCTAAGTTCAAAGACGTGAATAAGAGAGCTCCTGCCCCTTTAATGAGAACTACCAGGGCTGCAGAACTTGCAGCTGGTACCTGGCTCTGGTGCTCTGAAATCATCTGTCCTGAAATCATTAGTCGATATTTTAGAAAAACTGTCACATGACAATAAATACAGAGAACGAGTGAGAGACTGTATCTATGGAAGGCATTAAAAAGGCATAAGAAAGCTCACTCACTGCATCCTTATTGGACAGCGGCCTGTGTCATACTGCAAACTTTCATGGGCAGTTTAGCCACGAATAACTGGAATAATCTGCAATTCAGCTGACTAGCTTCATCCAAAGCATAACAAAATAATGAAAGGCGGTTCTTGTACTAGTCAAAACATTACATAATTTAAGGGTTAAACAGTGCAAACACCGTACCAGAATTTTTGTGTTGGATATGGGAGAAACTGACTCGCTAAGTTTGACCTCTCCAGGAGAAGCAGCAGACCCCTGAGATTCTTGGCTCGCTGGTTGCTCTGGTGATAAAGCGTCACTACTGTCCTCATCAAATGAAAAAGCATCTGTGTTTTCTGGCTCGTTATTTTGACCTGTAAAAGGAAACAAAAAACATTCACATTTAATTAGTAAACTTTTTATTTTTGTTCTGAATTGCATTTCTGTATTTGTTATCTGTAAATCTGCAATGAAACCCAAATGATCAAGATCAACTTTAAACAGCCTGGAGTTATGTGCTAGCGACAACTCGTCAAGCTCAATACAGTAAGTTAGTCTTCCATAAGTCAACATTTGAGAAAGCTTTGGAAGGACTGGGGAAGGATTAGAACTTCTATTGATTTTTTGCCGTTTTCTGTGCCTGTTAGGTAGATTTCCCACCACTAGCTGCCTAAGTGACGACAGCAAATAAGAAAATCTCCTTTTTACGGACCACTTCCTAATTTTTACTAATAAAATGTACCTTTAATTGTACAACTTTACAAAATTACATGATCCAAAACTACAGAGACATTTACAGAAAAAAAAGTCAGCCTTCAGACATGAGGGACCAGCTTTATACTACATCAGAAAACAAGTTTCAAGAAGTTGGCTAGTATAGAGTGGCAGTAAAGTGCATACACACATGGCTGTTTTATTTAACATTTGGGCCAGGTCAGTCATTTCCACCAGCTGTACAACCTCCTTTTAGAAAGTTGATCAGCTCAGAGACTTGGACTACCCAACGCCGGGTAAACACATGTCAATGTTATCTGGTTACTGATGAACTGGCCAAAATGTGCACAGTAGGTGCCACTGTCTGCATCCTTCTGCCCAGCATCCCTCCATCAGCTGATTGGAGCCGGTTGAAAAATCCTCAGCCGAACAGAGCTAGCAGCTAATCAGCTGCTAGGTCCGTTTGGGTATTCCGACAGCGGCTATATTTAATGCTTTGAAATGAATGTTATGAATGTCCCAAGGGTACCCATGTGCCCCTAGCATGGCTCCATGTGCCTCCATATTTCCAAATGAACTTATGTGTGCCATATCTCCAAGTGTGCCCCTGTGCTTTTCTGTTTCTCCGAGTGCACTCCAGTTCTCCTCCATATCTGCAAGTGTACCCCTGTGCTTTTCTGTATTTCCAAGCGTACCCTTGTGCTCCTCCATATCTGCAAGTGTACCCCTATGCTCTTTTGTAGCTCCAAACATACCCTCTGTGCCTCCTGCATGTCTCTATGTGCCTGTGTATATCTCCATGTGTATCACTGTACCACCAGCGCATCTCCATACCTCCGAGTGTCCCTCTGTGTACGTCTGTAGGGGTTCAGTTTTTTTTTATTTTTTTATTGCACAGAGCCCCTTTCTGAGCCATGATTCTCAACCTGTGCCCTGATTCAGCCACCAGAGACTCTGCACAGTACTGTTAGTATTATAGCAACTGCAATTGTATAGAGTTCCCCTGTGTATCCTTCTGGAGCTGAGGTCTGCTGAGGAAGAACACACCAGGGGAAGCTGTTTCAAAGGTGGCCGTGTGACAGCCAGAAAAGGGTGCTTTTTTGAAACGGAGCAAACCGAGGGCTACCTGTATGTTCTTTATATCATCACCTGCTTTCAGCCTACAGATTCAATGTAATGAAAGGCATTCTCTACACTAACTTGGCCTGCACATTTGTTCTTCATTTTCACAAAGGAGTCGCTTTTTCTTTTTAATACATGCCTTTAATGGCTTCCTTGAGACTTGAATCAACCGGGAGTATGTTCTTTTCAATCAATTCCAGTGGCCCGGGTCTCTGAGCTATCTTTTCATTGAGATCATCTGCCAGTCGTGCTCTCTTCAATTTCATTTGAGTTGCCTGCAGGGATGGCTCTGCATGTGTCTCTACATGGAGAGAAGAAAAATGTATTTCCCACTACTTACATATAATATAGGCGAGATCATTGCAAGTTTTTTTTAGGCAATAAAACTCTATAGAAAAAGTATTCCTCGCGATTGTAGCATTACAATTATGATATACTCCAAAGAAGTAGTATGTGGATAACCCATGGCAACCAGAAAGTAGCCCTCATCAGTTCAGAGTGGGAAGACTCCTGAGGTATAATTTCCAGTTGTCTGTTAATGGGTTAATCTGCTCTTCTTTCTACCATTTTAAATTGCTTTTCATTTATGTATTTAGAAAATCTTTCTAATCTGTAGAATGGTAAGCAGGCATATGTCTTTATTTTAAGTGATTTGTGCTCATTTACTTTCTTGGGTTTTGTAACCTGCTTGAAATATTACTTGAAGTGTTATAATTTTAATACATTCGGTGGTATGGAATTCCACATTTCATGCTCAGCGATAACTCTCTCCATATTTATTGCATGATAACGCCATGCAGTTCACAACTACAGCATCCAGTTTACAATCACTGTATAATTATCTGTCTCTTGACAATAAAATCACTTCAGAGAAACGCCTGCAAGGTACAAATATAAATAGCATAAAAGTGAGGATGCTTCACAGGAAAATAATGCACGATTCTAGTTTCATCTGTATTTTACAAAACATCTTCCAATTAAGTAATGTTAAAAAACAAGTGTGGGGTCCCACCAAACCGATCGCTTTTCCCACAAAAACCTTGTTTTGTAGACTGTAGCTAAAACATTATGAAGATGCTTACACAATGCTTATGAAAAGGTGCATGTTGCAATCATTTCGCAATCCTTTTTTAGTCAGGGCACCCTTTAAAAGTATGTGAAATCTTGAGGCATCCAGGTCTAAAATGTAAAAAATTACATGTGATCCATCCAAAATCCATTTGAGACCCTTATCTGAGCTCTCTGTCTATTTTATGCCACAGACAGAAACTCCCTCTGAAACACATGCCTCTGGGTTTAAAACGCCTTCTTCACCAACCAGGTGATATACTGCTGTGGACTGGAGGCAATAAAGCTTACCCACGCTCTTCTTAAAGGAGAATTACCAGGCGAGTGAAAATCACTCAGCCTCATAGTTCGAGCCGATGTGTGACAATGAAACTGTCAGAGGTCGGCTCAATAGATTGGGAAGTGAGCGAACACATACCGTTGCTCGCTCACTTCTTGATCCTGTCCCGGCAGAGAGCCGTGACTGTCACTCAAGGCTACCTGCAGGGATCCCCCCCCCCCAATCCTCCAGCGCTGACTTGCGGAACGGACGGGGGAGGGTACAGCTGGTTCTGCCTCTAGATAGGCAGTGCCAGCTGTCACTCACACAGCTGCGTGGATCCAGACAGTAATGTCGGGATCAGTCCCGGCTGTGGCGTCTCCGTATAGCTCGCTGTGTACTGAGCTTTGGGTGACGGGAGGACACTAGTTTGTGTCCTACCGTTACCCTTAGGAGAACTATGGGGAAAAGCCCTGACCCCATAGTTCTCCTTTAATCAGATATGGGAGCCCAAACTCACTACCTTAGGAGCCTCAGTTACAAACTGCCATAGTCTTGGTGGCCAGTATAGTCCATCATATACCAACCCCAGAAGTGGCATTTTGTTACATGCTGTGTGTAGCAGCTCCGCCTCTGTCTCCAGATTTAACCCTCACAGCTTGCTGCCTTTTAAATACATCTGTTCATGGATACAAAAAGCCATCAGACTGCCTGTAATGCATGCTGACTGTTATCTGCTATGCCACCAGGAACAGTTTATAAGATTAATAATACAAAATCAACCTTCAGTGACTCATCAGAATGCCAATGTTTTCCCAACAGCTTGTAACTTGCTGTTTAATCTCATTATTTCTATACATTAGCCAAACTGAAAACAAAGAATGCCATCTGTACAATTCTTCCACAATAGAAGAGGCCATGGGGATGCTAAGCTCCAACATAATACTATAGGCAAACTAAGCTGAAAGCACAAACGTGTTCTCAGTTACTGAGTAATTAATCTCTATTTTAGTTTTTAATTCTGTTAAGACGCAACAGGTGAACATTTGTTCTACAGTGTGTAGTTTGACTAACTCAAAGGCTGAAATTGCAAGCTTTTGAAATATTCTGTGTCATGTGTGATATGCCTGACAAAAAGGTTGTAAAATGTCCCAAAAGCTTGCATTTTCAGGCTGTCAAATAATTGGTATTGCTTCAACTACCACAGTACAACGTCCATCCCAATTAGAAGTTAACGCACTAACGTTCTTTAAAGAATAACTAAATCAAAGACTTAAAATGCATGTTTAAAAAATGTAATATTGCAGCTTGGATTTTGTTGAAAGGTTATTTCCACCCTTGCAAGTGTTTAGCATTTATTGTGGTAATGTAAAGGTGCCATGGTGATGTATACGTGTGCACATTTTAATGACTCACATTGCAGGCTTTCTTCATTTTTTTTAAATCAACTTATTAGGCCTGAATCCTACAAATGTAACATTTTCTCCACAGGAAATTCAGCCCGACACCGGGGTCAGATTGTAAAGCAGCCTGTAAACAGCTGCCCCCTCCCTCCTCTGTGTAACACGATCACCGAACACTAGCTCTGCCTTTGCACACAATACACTATCGGGGGAGGGGGAGAGTTGCCACTATAAATATTTAACAAATTGGGGAGGGGGCTCAGATATACACAGATTGCTTGCAGACCACAGAAGCGGCCATTTTCATGAGGATATGAAGAGGAAAACTAACAAAAAAATATAGGTTTCTGTGTTTATATACAGCAATTGCATATGTCTGCTTCATGAGCACTCGGTGTACATTGCTGGCATGTTTTGTTTTTTAAAAATACCTCTGCAAAAGGTTGACATGGGCTTTAAATATACAGTATGGCTGAGCACCTGCTGAGAGTCTCACAATCCTGAGCCATCCTGCAGACTGAAAGCCTATACAGCCATACCACCATATCTCACAAGTGCCTGAATCCCTCTAGTATCCAGTCATGAGCAGGAAAGCAGTACTCTGTCGCTGGCTGGCCATTTCTGGTGGGGCGGGGGAGGTTGGGGAAGAGCAGGGAAGGGCAGGCAATCAGCAAGGTAGGATGTTTTCTGGAGAAGAGTACTATTTACTTTAGATAAAGCGTGCTATCGGGCTGCTCCACCTCCTTCCTCTATATTGGGCAATATGGCTATGCATGTTAAAGGAATGTTTACAGAAACTAGTGTTTAGCAGTCCATATGTCCTACAACCAACATCTCATAACGACAGGTGTACATACAACAGCCTTTTTCCAACATATTATATTTTCACAAAACATTAGTTGGTCACTTGGAAACTAAGCAATACTTGAAATTATAATTACCTTCTAAAATGTGCATCCTTACTAACTCAGATCTATCTGGCCGGCTTCGAATCTTGTGCTTCAGGAAATTTTCAGTCTGTTCATTGAGAAAAACAAAGTGAACTTGATGCAATGGGATGAATTGTTTAAATATACGAGTATTCCAAACTACCTGGCAGACAAAATTGCCCCTATAGGAGCTGATCATTCATCAGATGTAACAAAACAAGTTCCAATTTTACTAATGATTGTTCATTTGCAATATGAATGAGATTGACATCAGGGACTGCTAGCATAAATTAGTATTCATAGTCTCGGCCGGTATCTGATCTAGGCATCGGGGCATTTTCAGGAGTACAAGTACTCCTGGAAATGCCCTGTATCGGCCCCGATACCCGTACTAGCATCGGTATCGGGACATCCCTAGTCCTTAGACACCCGGGGACCGGAGCAGAAGAGGCTGCGGGGACTGGTCTATCAGCCAGGCAGGATCAAGCAGCAGCAAAGTATTTTCTTTAAAACGAGCAATTAACCCTGGCAGTGCAGGGTGAGTCCCACTGCGAGAGTAAACGTTTTAAAATCCTGGAGTTCCTCTCTAATGATCATCTATATCCCATTGCATACTATGTAGATTGTGACTCATCATAAAACATTAATTGTGCAATTTCTATGAATTTCATTAAATAGGATATGAATAGTTTCAAATATAAGTAAAAGGCAATATGACTATGCCAAAAGAAAATGTACCAAAATCTGCCTTCATTTGAACATTTCTCAGCTCTATAGATAAGGAATATTGCAAAGACTGTGGCATTTAGTATTACAGTTATTCATTTTTGCTTTATCTACTGGTCTATTTCTGAAAGTATTTTAGCATGCCTCAGCACCTTCACTGTAAATTGGTTTTATAAAAAAAAGACAGAACATCATGAATACAATTCTTGGTTATTTCTTACCCTGGCTCTTTCCAAACTTTTGATCTGTTCATGAAATGCAGCCGGGCTTTTTAAAGCTGAAAATAAGAGAATACAATTTCAGCAAGGATAGCACTAAAATTAATCCGAGTCATGCCAAAGTGACACGTTTAACAATTACCAAAGTGACAATTTTTTTTGGACTTAATATTTTTATTAAGTTTCAAAAATAACTGCAACACAAACAATGTTGACTACATTTGAATATATATACAGTTTTGGCATATAAGTAATTACAAGACTTATACAACATCATCTACCTAACCTGATACTTCTTCCACCACCATGGGGTCAAAAAGGCCAAAATGGTCATAATGAAATGTAGTTATAACTAAACCTCCCTATGTGAATCCCACATTGGAAGTACATATGTCGTTCAACATTTACATCAATAAAATAACTCTGAGAAGCAAATTCCAAAGTGACAATTTTAACAATTTTCTAATCCTAAAAAAATAAAATAAAATTATGGTTTTATATCCTGGTGCTGGTTTTGTGGCTCACTTGATGCGTTTTCATAAGTTCCAGTGCATTCCAGAGCAGAGAAAATAACACTAGCAGTATTTTTTTTTGTCTGGTCCAGAACAGACTGCGCTGGTGTGAACAGAGACCAGAAATACCATAGGGATACATTGGGGTGCTTTTTTGGTCGGGGGACCAAACTGGTCTGGTCTGAACATGATACAGACATTGTGAAAACAAGCCTGGACAGTTTTTCTATCTTTTGCAAACACTTGTGCATAGGGCTAAATAATGCATAGAATTGTGTGGTTTCCTGAATCCTATTTCGGTCTGCTTTTTGACATCTCTAAAAACAGAAACAGAATGAAGGAGAGACTAACAACCAAATGCCCATATGTGCTTTCCTGACTGCAGCATGCAGATAAAAACCTCTGCGGGACTTAGTATGCTTTTAATTGAGCCCTCATAGCTGCTCTTTCACTGCGTAAAAGAGAATGCTATTGGTATAACATTTCAGCGTTAATCCAAATAAAATATAAATTCAAAATTTTACAGTTTGGAATCAACACTAACAATAAAAGCAAATATTCTTCTACATTTTATTGCACTATTGAAAATATTCTACATGCATCAATGTCGTATGCTGCAGAGATGCTTTGTGGTCTGACAGGGAGTGGTACTTCACTTTGCTAAACTGATGTAATGCTTCTCGTCATTTCCACAGCTGCTTAATAAGCGAACTGAAGCACATGAACATTCCTGTCTGGTTTTACCCGGCTGTATACTTTTTATTTAGGAAGCATGTGGTTTTACATCTTCACATTTTCCTCATGGAATGCACACTGCAGTTTTCATCTAGCTCCTGTGTTTAAAGGTCAGGCATTAGATATTCACAGAAGTGGTCTAGTCAAAAGGTAGGGCTGGATGTCTAGATGCCTTCGAACAAAGGCCTGTGATTGATTCCGATGAACAATGCCAATTCCTTTTTGTCTACTCCAACGCTAAAGACCTTATGGAATGTCCTGTTTTTTTATTCCTTTTGCAATGCAGTCAATTTACAATCATTCCAAAAATTGAATATAATTACGATAGCATGCTATTCATTGATTTACCCTCAACTTGGGTTTTAATCAAACATTTCTGTATAGGAGGAAAACAGATCCATACAACACCCATAACGGATCTTGCTTTAATGCTGCCCAACAAGAAATGTTACAGAATATGCAATCAATTGATATGCTTTATTTAAGGAAACAGGGCCAGATGTCACATCAGTGGAAATTCTAGGAGTCTGCAACATTTAACAGACTAGGTCCCATAAAAAAGTTATACTTCAGTTTTGGGTGGGCTCTGGCAGGGTAAATGATCAACTTATGCATTCTGTGTACTGGGGAATTTCACAGCAAGATCACCGTGTGTGTGTTCCGCTATCTACTTATTAAGCAATTCGAAAACTTGAGATTTTCCAGCATGGGCTCTTGGATAAAAATTGGATTTATTTAATTCCTAATACCAAGTGCTAAAATGTACTTTATAATTCAAATACATGGAACTCTACATGCAATGGTAAGCTGTGTAGTATGATTGCTTTAAAGCAGTGGTTCTCAACCTGTGTAACCTCAGGACCCACATTTGTCCTCGGTCATTAAGTCGCGACCCATGTTGCACTGCAATGGAACCCACGGCAGTGTGGGCTGCTGTGCTGTGACGGAGCTCCATCCATATGTGCATTGTTTGTACAGCTCCCATGCACACCTGTAGCGGTGCCGGGAGTCAGAATGTGACGTCACTCCAGTCCAGGCACCTCTACAGGACATGCGAGGGAGCTATAAGCAATGCATGTATGGATGGAGCTCTCTCGTGGCCATACCTCCAGCCCACCCCACCTCAAGTCGACACTCAGCGCTGGGCAGCATATTTTGAATGGCTGCTCGGTGTGAGAACGGACAGTGCTGCATTAGGGGGAGCCTCTCACCTAGAAAAGTGGAAGGCATGCGGCGACCCACTGAACACGGGGTCGCGACCCACTTTTGGGTCACGACCCACCAGTTGAGAACCAAGGCTTTAAAGAGTAAAGCATCACTTTATAAGAAACAGTTGTTGAAAGACACCGCTGAAGATCTGTAGGAAAACAGTTTATGGTATGGATAGTAATTTCTTTTCTTTTAACAGAGTTGCATCATTGATTGTAAGATGTTGTTATTTCTAACTGCTGCACCTCTAACAGATAGTGTAGAGGGCTTTCATGAAGTACACATGTTGAGTTATCTTTGTAACATAGTTTTGTAACATTTGCCTTCCTTATTTTAGATCAGCGACTCAAGCCCAGTTGGTCAGTGTACTAGTCAGACAACTAAATTATTCAGAAGGGGAATGGCAATGGTAGCCCCCTTGTGTCTCTTTGGAAAGGTTTGCATCAAAGCACATCTACACTTATGAACTTGAAGGGATGGTTAAAAAGCAACTGAAGGGCTGAAATAGTTTTCCCATAGACAATTCTGCTGGAATTCCTCTTAGGGTAAAGTAGGTGCTGTACTGCTTAAGGTACAATGTTTTATCAGTAATCTATATACCCAAAATGATAACCCTCAACCCTAACTCATAAAAACAACAGGCCTGAACAAATTACACTAGGAACCAGGAGTCCGTTTAAAAGTTAGGAGCCAGAAAAATACAGTCAGTCAGTCACCTTGGTGACCATGATTACCCAGCCCCATTTAATAGATACACAGGTAAGTATATGTACGTAAATGTGTCAATAAAGCACTGATCCAGCCAATGAGTGTGGTGTACAAATCAGTCAGCTACCAAGACACAAAGGGGTATAAATCACTGGTCCAGTCAAGTAGGTACTGAACCCGATGCTGAGCACTGCAGCATATGAGAAGTCATAAGACCAATACTAACTACTGTGGCATTTCAGGTAAGCAATAAACCTGATGAAGAATAGAAATGATACATTATAGAATTAATAGAATATGGAGCACCAGACCTGACACTGAAGATTATGGAATATGAAGCACAGATCTATCCCCTGAGACGTGCAGTGTACTAATCCGTGTGCTCCCAGGACATAGAGAGAGAAGTACTGGCACACTGTCTGTCCTGTAAGTCCACAGTGTTTAATGAATTGGATCTCTTCACTCACCATTATAGCGGAGGCTACACATGGGAAGTGATCAGCACATTCTAGCCACAGCTGACATGCTACTGATGTTGATTGTCAGCCGTTTTTTCAGATGCCACCTAGCGGTGACTGAGAGAAAGGCAGCCAATAAGTATGCAAACAGGAACTTCAGTGAGATCAGCGAACAGTGGTTTTCGCTCTCTAACCTTGGCACAAAAGATTCAATGCCATTGCAACAAATATATCAGTCTAGCAGAAACATTGTTGAACGGTGCTCGGCAGTTTTTGATAAAGATCAAGAGAAGCAGAGATATGTAATGTGCACACTGCTCCTGACAAGTTGCTTGGCCACAATACAAGTGAGGACTCTACAGGTCTCTCATCTACCACGATTGGGTAATACTCTCTACCACAAAGATAAATCATTATTTTCTTGTACAGATGCGCGATATTTCTGTATCTGTACACTTACCTCCACGGTTTCTTTGATCTTTAGGCCTCTTATGCATACTGCAGGGGTTTATTAAGTTACTTACTAAGGGAATTGTTTAAAAATGTATTGGTTTGGTATACATGTACTTTTTAAAAATTATGTTTTAGTGCAGATTTCAAAGACCTGGGCCTTTTACCAAAAACTGCTAAGTAGCTGCATGGGGTGCTTTTCTAATTTAATTGTCTGACAGATTAGATCCAAAACTTGCAGTGAGAGAGAAGTAGAGTCATTGTGCAGCAATAATCAGCAGTCCGATCCCACATAGGTGAAAGGCAAATGCTCCAATGCATATAAAACTATATATAAACTATACAAAACTATACAAAAGCTAAAAACCAGTAGTTTCTCCTTTAATATCGGGTGACTTACGTGGCATGATGCCCTGGTCTACAAGTTGTTCTCTTGTTCGCCTTTGTTGCAGACGCAACTGCAGCACTGAAAGAGAGAGGAACAGAAGTGGTTAGGAATATTGCAAAGCTGTTAAAGATGTGTTTCTAAACTGTAAACCAAACTAACAAAATAATCAGCATCAGACTACAATTATGGTTTCAGCAAATCCGTTATTCAACTTTGAACAATACAAAATATCAGCACAGAACAATATAGAAGTTATTGTTTTTTGTGAATTATAATTAATCGTTATAGCTTTTTCAAAGTGTTGTGTAATTTATTTTTCTCTTGATAAAAAATACACTTTAGAGCTGTGCAGAAGCATATAACAGATTCACTAGATGTGTTCTTATTACATTTTATATTCCAGAAGATGGGCAGTACACACGGTATATCCAAATTTCCACCAGCTCTGACTGGTGGAACGGACGGGGGCGTGTACAGCTGGCTCTGCCTCTGGATAGACAGAGCCAGCTGTCAGTCACGCAGCTGGGCGGATCCCGGCATAATTGTCGGGATCCGCTTCAGCTGCGGCGTCTCAGTATACCGCGAGCAGCAGCTCGCAGTATACTGCGGCGTCTCAGTATACCGCAAGCTACAGCTCGCGGTATACTGAGTCCAGGGTGACGGGAGGACGCTAGTTTGTGTCCTCCCGTTACCCTAAGGAGAACTATGGGGAAAAGCCTTAACCCCATAGTTCTCATTTAAAAGGGAAGTTAGGTTTAAACTTTAAAATCAAAAGAAGATTTTAAACACTGGGGGGGAGAGAAAAAAAAAAGTCTCCACTGATTGCATGAACACAAATATGATCGCATATACACCAGTTAATACATATCAATTATTTAATTGCCCTATGAGAATATGAAACTTTGATGCAAAAAAGATAAATGTTAATATTTTTAGATGTTACCCATGTTCTGTCTACTAAAAGTGTCCATAGATTAGGCATAGAATAGGCACTGAGCAGATATGACTGTACGAGACATACGAGACATACTTCCATAGCAAGTAGACGGTCACTTGCTCTAATGTTAAAAAGCATTTTCAGAAAGTAAAAAAAGGTTGCAGCAAAAGAGAACACAAAACTGATAACAGAAAAAGCTTCCAAATTGTACCTCACACATGCATCCAACATCTCCTAATGTGAATGAGCTCAAGTTTTTAAAATTAGATCATAAAACCAATTTTTACCACACAAAAGGAAAACATATTTGCACATAGAATGAGTTTGTCTAAAACTGCAGTATAATATCATCAAATCAAAAACATGATTTGTAAAAACATTTTCATTCATTTTAAATGCAACCACTATAATCTTGGCATATGAACCACTGACTTTCATAACACAATAAAAAAGTGTGTGGGAGGTGGCTCTGGAAGCATTGTGAGGGATTTGAAGAACCTAATAAATATCTCACAATCTGTAAACAAGGAGGGAAAGAATCATAGTTAAGGAACCTCTTGGTGCAGCGGTTCCAGAAAGAAATAGAAACATTTGGAAGTGACTATTCAAAGAGAAAAAAGTGTAGCGATTTTGACACACTTTTTTTATTGGCTTAAAATGGGCTTTCAGGTGCAGTCCAGTGTGTTTGCATGTGTTTTTAATGTGTTCCATTGCGATCAGATGCAGCTAAAATAGGACAACCAGTATTTATTTCTGACTGCATCGGAACTGACTGCACTGGTGTGAACAGAGCACCAGAAATCTCATTGGAAAGGATTGTGACGTGATTTTGATGCAACTGCCAAACTGCATCGCAACCGCTTCTGGTGTGAACCAGCCCTAACGAGTATAAAAGGTACCAATGCGCTTTCAGGGATAAAAAAGCTCTGATGAAGGGGGCTTTTTGACAACAATTTCACAACGTTTCAGCCATGTCCTTTGAGGCACTTATACCCTTTCCCAGAATGATAAGCATCTGATACCTACACCACTTCAAGACTTTTGGCCACCTCTACTAGGTGTTCGTTACCCAAAGGCTGACACAGGGACATGCAGGGAGGAAGAATCTCTTCAACACAGACACAAACAAGAAAAACACTTAGCAGAGTAGAGAAGCTGTGCCACCTACACAGCACCTATGCTGAACTAGATGTTTGATTAGAAGGAATCTTCATCTATTAAGACTAGTAGAACTTCAGCCAAAACATTTTTTTACTAGCTTTGGAAGGAATGAGGATGTGGTAGAACTGCTGCAACACACTGCCATGCATAGAGATACAGGGTAACTCCATATTTGTCACACAAGCCATTTTGTAATTTAAAAGGTTATTAAAAATGACCGCTCCGTTTAAAACCGCAGTCACTGTAATGCTCTAAATCTGTCTAAAAACAAATCTCTGCAATATGGTGCCCTGGAGGCATTCCGTGCACAACTGGTGTAGGAACTCCCCCCAAAAAGTCACTTCCTGTTTCTGTGATTGGTTGACTGATTTTCCCAGAAGTATGCACTAAGATACAAGTATAATTTCTGGAATCCCGTGCAATAGAAATTTCCATTTCTGGTTACACATTCCCAAAAGGTTAAATTAGGTCTCATTCACACGAGAAAAAGCCGGCACGTACAGCTCCATGCTGCGTGCACGGCCATATCGGGCAGCTGCTGCATGTGATTAGTACGCAGCCCCTGTCCTTCTCTATGGGAGTACACGGCCATACGCCGCCCTACGATACGTCCGTGCGGGTGTCCATACTCATACGCTGACAGGATGGATCCTGTCTGCGTCTGAGCTGGGACACCCGCATGGACCTGCACTTGGGGTGAGCGTAGGGCGGCGTATGGCACCAAAGACTCTTTGCAGTAACTAATCTCTAACTGGATGGCTCAGCCTGCACTTTAAATCAAAAGGAGGCAGGAAAGTAGACTGCGTCTGTTGTGCTCTATCATTAACTAAACCATAGCACATTGGGAACCCTTTGGACTTTACTTGAAAAAGAGAGATGCATTAGTTTAAAATATATTTTTTTTAAAACAAACTAAATCAATATACACTAAGGCTTCAGTATAACTGCAGGTTCACAATAAAAATGAAATTTAAAAACCAACTCCACAGGCGATCATATCCCCCTTTCAACTTTATGCTTTTTAAAAAAAAATATACTTACCTTTTTTCAAAGTATTCCAGAAGCTCTGGGTTCTCTTTTCACAGTGGCGGGCAGACCTTCAGACCGCGTTTGGTGTTGATGTGATGACAATAGTGACGCTCTCTGCATCAATATAATGTGAATTTAGGGTACTGGGGAGATGCCCCCTCCGAGGGTGGGCCCATGATGTCCTGGCATTTACAATATTGTCTTTGGTCTTCTGGGTTAAGTAACGCTGGGCCTCATTTAACTTTTATGACGGAGAAGACTAGTGAAATAAAAAACAGGGGATAGCTCCTACAACAAAAAACAGATCAATACTTCCTAAATGCAGCATAAAGGATGCTTTTCATGGAGCACTGCAAGGTAACCACAGTTAATGTAAACGGGTTCTGTTAAAAACAATGAAGGGAATTTATCAAAACTGGAGCAGACAAAATCTGGAGCAGCTGTGCATGGCAACAAAGCAGCTTATCTCTTTCATTTTCAAATCTTAACTGAACAGACTGAAGAGAAGCTGATTGGATGCCATGCACAGCTGCTCCAGATTTTGATAAATTCTCCCCAATGTATTTTTTCTGGTCTTGAAAATACAGAAAACTGCATAACAGAACATTCAGTGGGAACGAGCCCTAAATGTAACTCACAGTTATTTAATTGAATCCAAATAATATATATACGTAACCATATCAACCCCAAACACAAGAAAACAAAAGAATTTCCTTCTAAATGGAATCTGTGGTTGTAATGTTTTAGAAGACCTTCATAGTGTTGTCAAAGAGACCGCCTATAGAAGTTGAAAAACAATACTTTAAGTGGAACAAGACATAAATAAAGTCACTGCAGAGAACTTGCAGATAAATCTATCTGGTATAAAAATATACAGACAAGAGAATACAACAGAGAGGATATGTCTCCATAGCAAATCTAGCGTAATTATCTGCTCTGGACGCAAGTTTTGTCATATGTTCGTCTAAAAGCCAACCAAGTAAAACAGCAAATTAAAAGACTGTATTAGTCTATAGTCTTTAATAGTTATTTTTTCAGGTTTGGAATAGTTGCGTGAGGAGAGACATTTGGATATTCTGAAAAGCAGAGAAGCTCAGTCTGCCTTCATTCATCTCATTCTGAATCAGGGTTCATGTACACGGGTGTATTTAGGGGTGTATGGTTTAAGCTCAGGCTTTCTTCTGCACAGGCATACTCCAGCATGTATAAAAACGGTTATAGCTTATGGACATATTCCCTGAATGCACACTTTCTGCGTGGACGAATCGATTGGGTGTCCAGGGAGAGTGATTAACTCCTAACCGTATGTAATTGTATCACATATGATTACGCACTGTGTGCTGGCATTTAGGCTAGGTTCACAGTAAAATGACAGAGCGGGTCAGCGCATGCTGAAGCGCACAGTGCGCCAAACTCCCCAACTGTCTGCAGATTCAATAGCTAAAGACCTCCAAACTTTGTGTGGCCTTCAGATTGGCACAACAACAGTGCGTAGAGAGCTTCATGGAATGGGTTTCCATGGCCGAGCAGCTGCATCCAAGCCTTACATCACCAAGTGCAATGCAAAGCGTCGGATGCAGTGGTGTAAAGCACGCCACCACTGGACTCTAGGGAAGTGTAGTCGTCTTCTCTGGAGTGACGAATCACGCTTCTCTGTCTGGCAATACGATGGACGTGTCTGGGTTTGGCGGTTGCCAGGAGAACGGTACTTGCCTGACTGCATTGTGCCAAGTGTAAAGTTTGGTGGAGGGGGGATTATGGTGTGGTGTTGGGCTTGGCCCCTTAGTTACAGTGAAGGGAACTCTTACAGCATCAGCATACAAAGACATTTTGGACAATTTCAAGCTCCCAACTTTGTGGGAACAGTTTGGGGATGGCCCCTTCCCATTCCAACATGACTGCGCACCAGCGCAAAAAGAAAGGTCCATAAAGACATAGATGAGCGAGTTTG